CTTTCTCTCCTCCCTTCCTCTCTGAAATCAATAAAAATATATTTTAAAATAATAATAATAATACTGAGTGCCAACTGTAATTGAGAAATAATAAGTAATATATATGTATATATAAATATGGCATATACATATACATATACACACACAAATATATATATACACATTTGGTTTACACTCAGCTTTAGACCTGAGGCAAAGATATTTTGCAGAAGCAAATCTTTAACATGTTCAGATACTCACATGTAAAATAGCTCACTACCCTGAATATTCTTAATCTTTATTGGGTTGTGGTAAGTTTCTACAAACTAAGGTGACAGTCACCTACCGTTATTAATATTGCATTTTTGATGGGAGTTACCATTAAGCCTCTTAGTTTAACTCAATAGAATTTTCTGAGCACTGAAACACGTGCAAATGAGGTTCACAATTAAAAACTTGTAAAACTCACAACCTAAGCTCATCACACGCAAGCAAAAAAGGAATATAGGAATATTTGTAAGCATTTACCACACATGGCAAGTTCTTAATGTAAAGAAGTTGTCCCTGCTTTTAAAAGCACAGGTTTTCTCAAAGAAATGTCAACACAGCAGTTCACCCAACTTTGGAAATAAAGGACAGCATAACTGAAGTAGAGGAACAACTTTCAAACCCCCTACTGAAGGTACAAGCATGTTATTATTATTGGTCATGCCAGCTCCATTTTCTGCAGTCATATCTAACCCTTCCATAGTTCATGTACACTCTATGGCAAAAGGGAAGTAGAACTTAACAGATTTTTTTTAAGTTAATGATTCCGGCAATTTTTGGAATAACTTCCACTTGAGAAAATGTAACTAAGAGATCCTATCAAGAGACTCCCCAGCTGTTGACAGCTCAACTCTGGAAATTCCCTCCTTTTTTGCCTATTCCTGACTATCCCTAAATCCAAATTACAAAGTTTAATGACCCTGAAGGGCCCTGTGTGCCTCCCCTGAACTCAGAACTCTGTCTAAATACTCACTGGGACTCTCCATAGATGTTTATTGAATTGAAGGGAGAAAAAAAGGCACTGGAAACCTAGCTCCAAAAGCCAAGTGCTTGTTCGCCTAAACGAACCCCTGCTTTCCCCACAAGAGGAAACTGGGAGATCTGGAGCTGAGTCCATCCAGAATCCAGGGGGTCTGACACTGGGCTCAAGAGGTGATGACAGCCAGAAGGTCTGGGCAGCGGTTCCAAAATGGGGCACTGGGAAATGGTGGGCGCTTGCCAACATGGAAACACTCCCTCAGGGAGCTGGACCGGATGGTAGGAAACCAAGTCATTTCTGTAGGGATCCCAAGGCCCCAATCGCGTTCCACCGCCCCATTCCTGTTTATAGATCCCACTCCAGGAACTCCGGCTACCAAAGAGAAAGCAGAGGTCTCAGAAATATGTCAACACATGACATAACTTGAAAAAGCTGGCTGCTCATTGGCGCGAGTTACAACTTGTCCGGCTCACACAGGAAAACCGGCTCACTTTAATTACTTTTCTTTTATTAGGCTATGCCGTCCCTTCCAGGGCCCCCGCCAAGATCGGGTTACAGAGAACTAGGTAGCTTCGGTGGTAGGAACCAAACCGTGTGGGCGGTTAGCTGAAAGCAAGGAATCAGAGCCGACCGCCTGCGCAGTGACTGCGGATTTGGATTCACGACAATCGCAGCGGCTCTTTCCGCGCGGACGCAGGAAGAGGAAGCCTCGGCACCTCCACCCTGTAGACACCGAGCTGCCCAATCGCTTGTGTCGCCGAGAGGGCCTCGCGGCACCACGCCGATACCCCCGGGTCGGCCAAGGGCGCGCCACCTTTGTCTGGGTTTCCCCACCAGGATGGGCGCCGCCTCCACGCTAGGAGGGCTTGCCTGGCTCAGAGGCTCAGACG